GATTGGTGTAGGCATGGGTTATCTGATCAAATCACCTGCAGGATTTGGAAAAAAATGACCAACCAGAGGATCTGGAGTGAGGAAAAGAATAAAACACAGGGTAAGGAGGCAATCACAGTACAGGATTTGCTATAGTCCTTCTTCATGCCTAGATGCTGGGTTACTAATGAATTTTCATTCACTATCAGAAATGAGCTCTGTTAAGAGGAATATATTTCCTTTAAGAAATGCTGTCAGACATGGAAAGATGGTTTACTTTTTACAAACCATAGCAAAATGGGTAAATCTAAGCTTTTTTCCCCCATAGTTCTTTCCTTCTTTAAGAATATATTACAAGGGCTGGCCAAATAGCTCAGCAGATTAAAGCACCTGCAAGCAGGCCCAGGGACATGGGGTTTGATCCCCAGGTCTGCCATGCCAGCCCCACCTCTGGGGCGTGCTGAAATAGCAACTGAGACTGGGTGTGGTGGCATTCGCCTGTAATCCCAGCTCTTGGGAGGCTGCAAGCAAGCAGATCACTATGAGTCCAATCTAGCAGTGGGACCCTGGACACCCTGCAGACCCTTCCCTAAAATACCAAAAAAAAAAAAAAAAATATATATATATATATATATATATATATATATTACAATCCCCAAAGAAATGTTTTTAAAAATTTTATATCAGTGATTCAGATGGCTTTTAAACATCTTACAGTTCAACTTCCCTAATCCTTTCTTTCCAATTTGCAAAAAGTCTGAGCTCATTTGTAATTCTCAGTTATGAAAACCAAGTATCTTCCTCTCCACACTGGATGATAGATCATTAAATTTGTGGAAGACACCATGTTCCAAGAGGTATCTTAAATGATGTTCCTTAAAAGTTTTCTGATGCATGTCCACCAGTCTTCCAAAACCTGTCAAAGAAGCACTTGTCCGGTCTTTGTAAAACTCCCCCCTCCAATTCATCCACTCAATCTGTAAAGTGCCAGTCTAAGTATTTCTCCCACATGTTAATTAGAAATAGAGCTCCTTATGTTCAGAGGTGTAATTGTAGAAGGAAATAAAGTGCTCACGGAGGTAGTTTACTTCCCTTGCCTTGGTGATGAAAGGGAATAATCTGTTTAGAAGGAAGGCCACAGCTTTCCTGTGACTGTCCCTGACTGTTTAAAGATCACAAATTACAGACTAAGAATCCGACTTTACACACTGCACACATACCAAAATAATAGTAGCTAAATTTGTAATATTTTCCCAAGCATTGAACTTGCAAGAATCATCATAAGCCTTCCACTTGTTCATATTGGGAATGAACTTTTCTTCCGGATTGTAGAGGGGCTACTGACACAAATAAGTCACAGCCCCAGCAGATGCCTTCAGGGCAGCAGTTGGGATCAGGCCTAGGTTTGTTTCCTCATTGGAATTTACTATTGTGTTTATCACCCTTTCTGACAGCCCCCTCACTCTACCTCAAGACATGCAGTCTTGTCCATCAATACCCAAAATGCCAGGCACATCTGTGTAACAGGATTTGCAGGGTATTTGGGAGCCTTTCAACCTCAAACCTCTTGTGAGAGGTGGAGGGACAGAAACAATTTTCTGCCACCAAATCCTACATCACCTTGAGAATGGCCTCTTCTCTCTCTCAATAGGCAGCAGCCCTGTGGCTGGAACAGGGGGAAGTTGCGACACCTGTGCCAGGTCTGTGGCAGGCTGGCCAGCTCCCAGTAGGCAGCTGCAGGGGAAGGGGGGTAGCATGGCCCGAGTGCTGCTTAGTCAGGCTCCGACACCCAGCAGCCCTGCAGATGTGCCCAGACCTGCCACTGCCAGGTGTCTGTGTCTGGGCCGGGAGGTGACGGCACAAGTGTGACTCTTGCCTCCTGGTGTTTCCTGACACTGTCCGCAGAGGAATGTGGAGGATACCTCAGAGGCCACCACAGCAGCTCTCTGCCCCTTCCCAGCCCTCCTGCCAACAGCCCCAGGGCAGGCTCCTCCTCCAGGCTGGTGGGCTCAGGTGAGAGGCAGCTACCTCCTCCGCAGGTTACTGGCCTGCCTGCCTGCTCTAATCCAGTTCCCATCGTGATTGCCCAGACCTCCTTGCTAAGAGGTGTGGGGATTTTTTTTTTAATAGAATGATTCACATGATTTTACATATTTTTTTAATTAGAACATTTTTTCAAGCTCATATGTCCCCATTGGGAAAAAACTTGAGAAAATCCGTTTCCTAAGAAGATGATCTCTGGTGTTTAACAGAAATAGGACCCGCTAGAAAATATTTACACCAGGGTATAAATATTGGAAAGGCTTACCAGCTCATTTGTGGACTGTGAATCCAACACCACAAGGTTATGTCTAATCTCAGTGGATTTTGAGAATTCTGTTCAGAACTCAGGTGGGCTGTGAGCTCTTGTACATCAGGAATGATGTACAAAAACTTATTGTTTGCACACCTACTATGTGCTACAAGCCCAGGTGTAATGCAGACACCACTATATGGGAGAGGGCACTGATAAACATCGGGTTGGACAGATTCAGCCAGCAAACATTTTGTTTGACTCACATTATATCAAAAATTTGAATTAGTTGCCAACTTTTAAATAGCAGAACATTTCCAGCTTCACTTGAAAACTCAGGAAATCTGGCAAAACAGAGCCCACATTCCCAGCTGATGACAAGCGGAGTAACAACTGCCTACTTCAGACAGGCACTGGCCCTCCAACCTCAACTCCCACCCCCGCCTTCCCTGTTTCCCTGGACTCAACCAGCCCAGCCCTTCATCACTGACCATCAATTCTCAGGATGGACTCCCACAGCACATCCACCCTGGAGAGGCCTCACCTCGAGACAGCGCCACCCAACCCAGACCCTTGAATCCAGAGAGCTGATTTTTGCTTACTGGAGCTCTATATACAGCAAATTTCTTACTTTGTATCTCTTTGATTTTCCCATTTTTAATAAAGCTTTTTTCCAACTCCTGGTCATGTAAAGAAAAACATTCTTTTTTATCACTTGCTAAGGCAAGAAACATAACAGGAAAAAGGAAATTGTAAGACTGAAGCATAGGAACAAAAAGTGAGGATTTTGACAGTAGTGTTGGCTCTCAGACATGCCCTGCTTTGCCACACAAAGAAGCTGAGCATAGAAAAGGGGAAGACAGCCTAGTCCCAACCTGAAAAACACCATGAACATGGTCTGCAGTCTTGATCTAGCCAGGTCCAAGCACAGTGGCTCCTCTGGCCCCATTTCTGCTTACATGTTTCCACAGACTGGAAGAGAACCCCACCAGATCTGAGCAGTAAATATGAGCACTAATTTCAGAAGTCACATAGTACTAGGGGGGACATGATTCTAGATAAACTTGCAAATAATTATTACTTTTCATCCAGACCTACTAGCTTCCTATGTGGAGGTAAAGGTTATCATATTTTTAAATGTGTCTGTCGATTTCACTAGTGTATGTTAGAAGAGGCAGCCTGTTGTCATGTGTTCAAACTTTGTATCACCAAAATGCTGTGTGTGTGTGTGTGTGTGTGTGTGTGTGTGTGTGTAACCAGGAACAGAGTTACTAACAAGTTGATCCTGGTATTTATTACTAGTAGTTTTACTAAAACAAATACAATTCAGTTGTAGTGAACACAAAGATAATGCTCATACCTTCAATTGGGCAAATTAAAGGTATTTAAGTCAGCCATTGCCAAGGACTTAGATATTTTGATGTGTTTATCATAAGCATATATGATCACTCAATGACACTACAACCAAAGACTCCTCTTGTAACAAATTTAGTTATTCCTAAAATCAGTTTTAGGTGCAGCAGAAAGGAAAGGAGGAGAGCAGCATTTGCACAACATGCCATTTTATTTATCTCTGCCAATCTGGCCAGAGACAAGGTTTCATACCACTTTCATAGATGAAGAAAGGAAGGCCAAGAAAGCTGACATTCTCTGCCACTTTCCCTTTACTGAAAACAGACTATGCTCTGGCCATTCACACTCCAAAGAGTGAGCTCTGTAGAAAACACTAAGAAAAGTAATGACCAAAGGAAGTGAGGCCACAGCTAGGCTGCAAAATGCAATAAGCATGGTAAGTAAAGCGGAGATAAGTGTGTGGGGATAAGAAGAGGACAAGGGCATGCCCGAAGAGAAGGCCTGGTGATCAGGGAAGGCTTTCAGAGAGAGGGTGACAGCTGAGAGCCTCTTGAAGGAAGCATTGTGTAACAACAACCAGAGAGGAAAGGAAGGGCAAGACAGGCCTTAGTCCTCAGGGGTGGTGGAGATAGAGAATGGGAGGTAGGCAGTTTGAAGTGGGAATCCACAAAGCAAAACTTGGTGTTGACCTTAACTGTATGAAAAGTGAATCTTCCCCACTGCGTAAGGTTTATCATCTGAGGCCAGGTGACTTCATGCCTCCAGCCTCACACCGGTACAGGACACTAGCCTGACAGAATGCCCTCTGACCCCGCAGCCCAGACACCCTAATTTCTTTCTCCTGTGCCCCGCTGCCTCATTTCCCCGCCACAGCCTGCTGCTTACCTGAGCCTTCCAGGGCCAGGGCGGCCGCCTGGCTGCCTAGCTGCAGTCACCTCGTGCCCCTTCCACCTCCCGTTGTGGGAAGAACCCAGCAAGGGCTCTGTTTCCTGGCCCGGGATCCCCCGCAGCAGAAAGGCTGCGCACGGGTGTCTAGCCTGGGAGTCCTTTCAGATCAGGAAGGAAGGCCTCCTTCCCTCTAGCTCTGGGCCTGCCTGCGTCCACAGCTGTGGGCCACCTCTATGCCCTGGACTGAAGGGCCCTGTGTCCTCAGATCCCAGAAGACAGGCTCTTGGGGTGAACCGCCCCACCTGCCCCAAAGGGCCAAGCTCCTGTTCCGTTTCACAGTGCCCTTCAGTTACCCTTACCAGTAGAGGGGAAAACTTTAGCCCCATTTTACAACTGAAGCTACTGAGGCGCGCAGTTGGATAGCTGTCCTGGGGAGGTGGCGAAGCTGGGGCTTTAGAGGAGAAAGGGGTGCCCGGGTCTTCCCGACATGCAGTTTCCCAGTCCTGGTCGCCAGGGACCCTCGCCAGGGACCCGAAGGCGTCTGGGGGCGGGCGGGAGGCAGAGCCCATCGGCGGCGCGGGAGGAGAGGGGAGGACAGGAGCGGAGCCAGGGCACCGGGGCGCTGTGCTCCCGGAGGCAGACACGGACACGTCTGCGTCTCGCCGACAAGTGCCTTCAAGCCCGGCGGGGAGACACCTCCGCGGTCCGCGGGGCCACCGCCTGCCCACTCCGCCGGTGCGCCGTCCGCGCGCAGGGCAGGCGGCGACCCCAGGCCGAGGGGAGGGCGGGCGAGGGGCGCG